GTATACAAACATTTGGTTACATAAATTGCTTTTGTACCATTTGAGTCAAAGCTATAAGTATGCCCATCACCCAGGTAGTGTGCATTGTACCCATTAGGTGTGAATTTCCCCATCCTGTTCTTCCTCCTCCCCCCTCTTGATTTCTGATGAGTGTTATTTCCATATGTGCACATAAGTGTTTGAATGATTAGTTCTAATTTACTGGTAAGTACATGTGGTGTTTGTTTTTCCATTCTTGTGATACTTCACTTAGATGAATGGTCTCCAGTTCCATCCAGGTTAATGTAAGAGGTATTAGTTCACCAATTTTTTTATATTGAGGTCAACATGGAATCTAGATTAATAACACATTAATCTAGTATTAGAGATGAAAAGGAAGGGATAGAAACAAAACAATCTGAAAAAAAGAATTGATAGCAATTGAAATTTACTGGCCTTAGGATTTGAGAAAGATGGTCAAAGGTGAATCCAAAAATACTTAGTGTTTTTTTTTCTAATTTCTAATATGTATTTTAGGAAAGCCATTCAGCATCTCCATCATCCATGTGTAGCGAAGGAAGAGAGAATACATGGTTTGACGTGCCCTGTAACACTACTCATGTATCAGGTTTGAAGCCATAGCTTTGCTTTTTAAAAAAGTTACTAGTTACTGAAATACTACTGTAACATTTCATCTCAAGGAATTATGTATTGTAAGTCATACTTAGTTAATGTCAAAAGAAAAGTAAACTAGGTAGAATTTAATGCACAATTGCCTAGAACATAGTGCAAACCATGAAACAAACCTTTTTTAAAATAAAAGCAAGAAAATATTAGGTATTTTACTCAAAATTGTAACACTGTTTATTTTCTTTAACTGTCCTAAGGCCTCACTCAACATCTTAATCGCAAACGAAGGTACATAGAAGATAATCTAAGTAATTCTGATGAAGTAGAAATGGAAGAGAAAGAAGAAAGGAGAGCAAACTTTCTTCCCAAAAAAATGTGTAAGACTGAAGGTGCAGATCATCACATATACAAAAGTATGTAGATCAAAAGCCTGTGTCAAAAGGCAATTATTTGGAAGTTAGCATCTTAGATTTTGAATGACTCCATCCACAAAACAAAATTCTTTGTAAATACAACTTCAGATAAGTCCCAAACAGATGATGCTTTATCAGAAAGTTCACTTTATATGAATAGTGTTGTAGTAAGGGTCTTCTATATTCATAGATCTCCTTCATCATTCTGTCACTTATTACCACATTTAAGTTTTACTAAGTATGAATTTACTGATGTGTTAGTGTGTCACTAAATACTTGTGTTGATAACGTAGAAGTAGTTGAAAGCAGTTAAATCCAAAAATGCTCCAGTTTAAAGTTGTCATTTCTGCCTTGATAGGCCAAAAAGTTTTTTATAAACAGAATAATTTTTAAATTAAAACAGCCTGAGGTCTACCGTTAATTTCATTATCCTTAGATTACACATAGAATCTGAATAGATTTTTGTTTTCAGTCTAATGACAAGGCTAAATTTGTAATAATGCATATTTTAACTATAGCTGATTATCTTCATTTTTTAGCATCTGAAAGTATATCTCCATTATCAACAAAAGACTTTTCTATTCATGGGGAGAACTGGGACAGTGAATTTTCAGGTGTAGGGATGATTTGTGAGAAGCTCAATTCAGAATGTAGGAAGAAGATTCATGTGAGTTATCATTCTTTAAATTATGATTTATGACCAATAATAATATACCACAGTTTCTACTAGAGTATTGGATTGTTTGATCCTTTGGCAATAAAACACCAAAACTTTCCTCAAACCCACAAACCCAACTTTCCTCATATGTGAAAGATTGGAATAATTGTTAGGTAAATAATGTTATCTCATGAGCTGAGTTTGTCTTCTAAAATCTGTACATTATCCATTAGTCCTTCTTTTGCTATTAGTTCTATTTTGTTTTACTTTCCTTTCCAATTTAATGTTTTTGCTTTTCTATGATTTTTCTTTTATTTTCTGAACAATTTTCTTTTCATGCCTCATCCTTTTTAGACATTTTCTTATCTCACAGAGGTCACCATTAGTGAGGGTGGTGTAATACATTAATAGTATAAAGGATGAGCAACCTCCAGTCAGTGAAATCCTGTATCATTTTGTTCTACTAATAGTACTCTACTTACGTAGTCTTAGTTTGAGGCTCCAATGAGATGATGAATGCAAAAATGCTTTTTAAGACAATCTTTAGTTATTAGTAATATATTTTTTTCTACTCAACTCTCTCTTGTGTATTTGGCATAGATAGTTATTTTATGCACTTTTTTGAATAAAAGTTATTTTTCAGCACAGGTTATTATCCCGATTTCTTGCTTGCCTTTCTCCAATTCAGGGGTAAAATCTGAAACTATTTAAAGTTCTGTATGTTTATTTTGATTTTATTTGCCAAAAGTCAAACTAATCTAAATAGAGAAGCCTGATTTATATTTTCTGTTACGCATCTGTGGCTAGATGTGAATATATGTGTTTGTGAAAAATGGTTAATAATTCTGAGTGTGACTTTTATTTTGTGTCCTTAAAGAGAATTTATAATCATTAGCATTTTTGTAAATACTGTAGAGTGTGGTATTCTTATGAAAACACTTAATTAGCAATTAATTACTAATGGGATTAGACACTGCTCTGACTTAGCTTATTTAATAACACTTCAGGGGTTTTTTGGAGACAGGGTCTTGCTCTGTTGCCCAGGCTAGAGTGCAGTGGTGTCATCCACTGCAACCTCCAACTCCTCGGCTCAAGCGATCCTCCTGCCTTAGCCTCCTGAGTGGCTGGGACTACAGGCATGTACCACCACACCCAGCTAATTTTTCTGTTTTTTGTAGAGACAGGATCTCGCTATGTTGCTCAGGCTGATCTCGAACTCTTGGCCTCAAGCGATCCTACCACCTCAGCCTCCCAAAGTGCTAGGATTACAGGTGTGAGCCACTGCGCCCGGCTAACACTTCAGTTTAAGTAATTGTGTTTTAAAGTTTCCACTTTTCCGATTTCATGGAAAAGGCTTTTCTCTTAACCTAATTTTGGCTAGGTTACTGTTTGGTAAAGATATTTTAAGTTAAAAATGAGTATTTTTCAGATACGACATAAGATGATGGATTATTTTACTAAGCAGTCTTGGAAAACAGCCCAACAACATCTGAATACAATGAAACATCAAATTCAGGAGTATAGGTTTGTAATAAAAATTTGTTCTGAAAACTTCTGAATGCTATATATTCATATATTCTGAATGCTATATTTTAAAAATCTCCTTTTGTTTAATAGGATTAAAAAACTTGATAAATTCCAATTCCTCATCATAGAAGAACTGGAGAACTTTGAAAAAGATTCGCAATCTTTAAAAGATTTGGAAAAGGAATTTGTGGTTTGTACTTCTAATTTAAAAATAATTTTAAAACTTTGCTTTTAAAGGGCTACCCTTAGAAAAATTTTCAATTACATTCTGCTTTGAGAGCACATTCTAAAACTTTTTGTTCTTTAGAACATTATTTAGTTTTATCTTAGATTTTTTTCGTCAGCTTCATATAAACACACTTAAATTACAAACTTAAGTTTATGATGAATATCTTTGATAATAAGGGAGAAATCCTGAAAGATTTTACTTTCATTTTTTTTTTTAATCTGAAAGAGTACATGACATTTGGAATATTCTTAGCAGCATATAGCCCAGTTGTTTAATTTGGAATGATAGAAATACAGTAATTCCGCTGTTGTGTCTTAATTTTTAATCATATTAAAGTTTAATTGGTTTTTGTATCTTAAAATTTAGGATTTTTGGGAAAAGATACTTCAGAAGTTTAAGGCATATCAAAAAAGTGAACAGCAGAGGTTAGTATGAGATTCTTTATGACTAGAACTTACAAAATTTGCTTTTTAAATTAAGTTCATATTTGAAAAATTAAAATTATACATACTATATTATAGCAATTTAATTTGAATTCCTAATAAATAACAAAGGAAACTTCCATTATTTCACTTGTTAGGCTTCATCTTTTGAAAACTTCATTGGATAAAAATGTCTTCTGTAACACAGATTATGAGGAAACCATTTTTACCTCTGAGGTATAAATTTTATGGTTTTTATATATAATCTTAATATTGGTTAGTCTAACTTTTTGCTGTGAAAAATCAATGGTAAAGTTCATGGGGGAATATACTTACTTACAGATGTGTACGATGAAAGAAAACATGAAAATGCTTCAAGACAAGCTTCTTAAGGAAATGGTAAATCAGCTAATCTGGTTTTTCTTCTTTTTTGGTTAGGAGAAGGCAGTTTTAGCCCAGTTACTTCTAGTTCTTTAAATTAAATAATGGGAGGATATTTGCTAGTACAGGAATAAGGTAACCTAAATAATGAAACCCTCCTAAAGAAAATCAATTTGCAAATTGAGAAATTAGCTGAATTTTTTTGTACTTTTTCTAAACACTGTGAACTACAGCAGACCTCTGTCCTGCCTTCTGAAGGAGAAGTATATGGTATGACAGATCTGCCCAGAAGAGCTGTGAACGTGGAGAGTTACTGTCCACTTGGACAAGAAGACTTCAGTTTACTTAGACTTGGGGACAAATGATTTGACTTCCCAAAGGCCTAGTAGACCAGCAGCTGCATTCTAGAAGAAAAAGTAGACCTGGGAGGGACTAAAGGCACTGCTCTAAGTAAACATGTCTTTGGTGTTTTCTTAAGGCTGGAAGGCATTTTTTAGTACACTGGGCTTTAGATACAGGGTATATTAATGTACTTACAAAGTTTTAATAGAAACTCAATATGCTAACATAGATAGTAGGGGAGATCAGGAGGTTGTGGCTAAGCTAGAAGCAAATAAGCTACCTAACTAGGTTGCTTCTTACTGAAATTTTTTTCTAAACCATTTTTATTTTACTTCCCTTTAAATTAAATCTAAATTTCATTGCTTTGGGGATTTAAAAGATTGTAGATCTTCTTTCAATTGATCATCTTGAATATAAAACTAATGATCACAGAATTCTATAGATATCTAGGTATAGACTCGGGGGGATTAGGTAAAATGAGCACTGATTCATGGTATCTTTATGAAAGAGGTTGTTTTAAAATTAGTTCCTAATAACACTTTGCTGGTTTTACAGTGATAATGTGAAATCTAAGCATGATTTTTTTTTCTTGGTCATAGCAAGAAGAGGAGCTTCTTAATGTGCGCAGAGGACTGATGTCATTATTCATGGCTCATGAAAGAAATGTTAATATGTGAAATACAGTTATCAACATATTTTATCTGTTTTGTGTATAACAGAAAATAGAGTAGTCCTATGAAGAGAAAAATACATGACTCCAAACCCAAAGACTTTTGTCTGTTATAATACTACTCTTTTTATTTTGGAGAGAGAAAGTTTTATGAAACCAAAATGTAAAAGGAAGTGCCTTATTTTTTGTAGTAATATTTACATTAGGCAACTATTACTGAGTTAACTATACTATTTTAAAATAGTTTGGGACTAAATACTTATATTATCAAAATTTACTATCTTAGAACATACTACAAGTAATAAAAATTTGCCACACTTAGAAGGAGAGGAAGTCCCTGATTGAGTGGTAGATCGGTACTCTCAGCACACTGTTGGAGATATTTAGCTCCAATGTATGAGAAGGCACTAAATAATCTAAAATAGCTATTTTATTGCCTAAAAATTCAATATAGAAGTCTTAATTCATAAGCAGGCTATATTTGACAAGTAATTTTAAGCTTCTAGTATTCATTGTAATGTTTTGCTAGATTATGAAAATAAATACACATTTAAGTTAAAATGCTTATGTCACTTGGGTAATTACTTTACTTTAAACTTTTATATTCCTATTTTGTGAACTTTGGATCAAAATATCCTTCCTCAGTCAGAATCCCAATCAGCCTTACTATCCCTTGCCTATTTAATAGTAGCAGAGTATTTGAATAATACCAGGATTTCAATACAGTGGTAAAACTGGTTTCTTAGGTTTTCCTTTGCTTATCTTAACTTTCTCATCTTAGTCACCTTTATATAATTATTAGCATTAGCTAAGATTTATTGAGAGTAATGGGGTTTCTAGTCTAAAAGAGTACGAGTTGTACTACAAAACATCACTCAGGAATTATCCTGTAAGACTTTAGAACTAATTCCATCATGACTTAACCACCTTGTCTATCTCCTCCTTAGCCAGACTCGTAAATCATATATCATACCTAGTACCGTACTGCACTGTATGTGTAATCCAGCCCAGGTTCACACTTCCTTCCTGCCCTGCTAAACCTTTCTGCTATATATATAACCTTGTCATTTCCAATATTCTTACACCCTAACCTTTCCAGAGTTGTCCCAGGCCATTTACTCCAGGTTTTTTCTCTATGCCTTCACCCTTCTTGTCTGTCCTTTTCTTACCCATTCTAGATTCCACAGTACCAAATAATATTCTCTTGTCCTTTTTCCTCCTATCTACCTTATCCACTAATTCTCAGCCCTCATTTTACCAACTGAATAGCACTAGAGAAGATCATACAATTAACCTTTAAATTTATGGCCCCATACCTCAAATTGGTACTCAGCATTGCTCAACAATGCTTACTCTGCCCTGTATGATTGGCTTTAGCACATTTCCTGAGTATTATTGCATAGCAATACCTCTTTAATTCTCTACATTTGATGGTCTCACCTCACAATTTATCTTCACCTTAAAATCTACATGTTTCTTGCATCAATACCAGCATTTTCTGATTTCTCCCTTCTTCCAATGGCAGACTTGCCTCTCTATTTAAGGACAGTCACCCTACTACTGCTCTAAATCCCATTACCTTTGACTTTTTTAAATTTCAGAACATTATGGGGATACAAACATTTTGGTTACATGAATTACTTTTATATAGTTTGAGTCAAAGTTGTAAGTGTGTCCCTCACCCAGATAGTATGCATTGTACGCATTAGGTGTGAATTTACCTATTCCCCCCACCTGCTTGATGTCCATTGAATTTTATTACCATATGTACACATGCATGTTGATCACTTAGTTCCAATTTAATAGTACATGTGGTGGTTGCTTTTCCATTCTTGCAGTGCTTCACTTAGGAGAATGGTCTCCACTTCCATCCAGGTTGTTACTAAAGATACTAGTTCACTATTTTTTATGGCTGAGTAGTACTCCATGGTATACATATACCACATTTTATTAATCCACTCATGTATTGATGGCACTTGGGCTGTTTCCACATCTTTGCAATCGAGTGCAGATGTCTTTTTTATAAAATGTCTTTTTTTTTCCCTTTGGGTAAATACCCAGTAGTGGAATTGCTGGATGAAATGGTCTACTTTTAGTTCCTTGAGGTGTCTCCATACTGCTTTCATAGAGGTTGAACTAGTTTGCAGTCCCACTAATAGTGTGTAAGGGAGAAGTAAAACTAACTCTCTTCACAGATGATTTGATCTTATATATAAGAAATCCTACAGAATCAACAAAAAAACTATTAGAGCTAACACAAATTCAGCAAAGTTGCAAGATACAAGATCAACACAAATCAGTTATCTCTATATGCTAGAAAGTAACAATCCAAAAATGAAATTAAGAAAAAAATTCCATTTATAATAGCATCAAAAAGATTAAAATCCTTAGGAATGAATTTAACCAAGATGTATACTGAAAACTAGAAAACACTGTTCTTAGAAATTACAGATTACATAAAAATGGAAAGATAGAAGCAGCCTACAGATTTAACACAATCCCTATCAAAATTTGAATGGTCTTTTTGCAGAAATGGAAAAGCTAATCCTAACAATATGAAAATGGGAGGGATCCATCATAGCCATAAAAACTTGAAAAAGAATAAAGCTGGAGGAGTCATACTTCCCAATTTCAAAACTTAGGACAAAGCTATATTAATCAAAATAGTGTGGTACTGGCATAAGGATAGACATAGACCAGTGGAATAGAATTGAGAGTCCAGAAATAAACCCAGTCATCTATCGTCAACTGAGTTTCACCAAGAATGCAAGAACATTCAGTGGAAGAAAGAGTAGTTTCTTCAACAAATGGTGCTGGGACAACTGGATCACCACATACACAACGATGAGGATGGAACCTTACCTCACATCATAAATAGAAATTAAATCTAATGGATCAAAGACCTAGAACTGTAAAACTCTTAGGAAAAAACATAGCGGTAAATCTGTATGACCTTGGATTTGTCAATGGATTCTTAAATAATATACTACAAGTACCAGCAGAAGGAAAATTAGACTTCAGCAAAATTAAGAAGTGTGCATCAAAGAACACTATGTGAAAAGACACCCCCACAGAATGGGAGAAAATATTTGTAAATCATATATCTGATAAGAGTCTAGTATCAAAAATATATAAATAATTCTTACAATTGAACAAAAAAAGACAACCCAAATGAAAAATGGGCAAAGGACTTGAATAAACATTTCTCCAGAGAAGATATACAAATGGCCAATAAGCACATGAAAAGATGCTCAACATCATTAGGGAACTGCAAATCAACACCCTGATGAAGTGCTACTTTACACTTACTGGGTTGGCTAGAATCGAAAACCAGAAAGTAAGTGTTGGTAAGGATGTGGAAGAATTGGAAATCATATTCCAGTTTCTGGGGGAATGTAAAATAATGCAGCCACAGTTGAAAATAATTTGGTGGTTCCCCAAAAAGTTAAACAAAGAGTTACCATATGACCCAGCAACTCTTTTAGGATATACCCAAAAGAACTGAAAACAGATATTCAACAAATACTTGTACAAGAATGTTTACACAACAGCACTATTGACAATAGCCAAAAGGTAGAAAAAAACCCAAGTGCCATCAACTGATGATGAATAAACAAAATATTTAATGGAATATTATCTAGCCATAAAAGGAAAGAAGTATTGATTCATGCTATTATACAATGTGGAAGAACCTCAAAAACATTATTCTAAGTGAAAGAAACAAGACACGAAAGGTCACATAGTGTAGAATTCTATTATATTCATATGAAATATCCAGACTAGGTAAATCCATAGGGACAGAAAACTTAGCAGTTGCCAGGGGATGGGGGAAAGGAATAATGAGGAGTGTCTGCTTAAAGTGTATGGAGTCGCCTTTGTGTGTGATGAAAATGTCTTGGAACTAAATAGAGGTGGTAGCTGCACAACATTGTGAATGTACAATACCACTCACTGAATTGTACTCTTTAAAATGGTTTATGTTATCTACATTTCACCTGAATTATTAAAAATTATTAAAACCCCATCTTTATATCATGACCTAGAAGACTACATCAGCTGATTTCTACCTCTCTTTCTTCACCCTTATTTTCTACTCCTTTCCCTCTTGTTGAGTATGCTTTCAGCATCTACTTGAACAATCTTATTTCTATCTCAGAGTCTTTGTTCTTGAGATTCCATTTTCCTGGGAACTCTTGCCGTCCTACAGGTCTCCATTTAAATGGTAATTTTTTTAAAATTTTAATGGTAATTCTTTAGAGAGAACTTCTCTCACCATTCTATTAGTGTTACTATCATTCTCTATCATGTAGCACTTTTTGGTATTGGGAATTTTTTTATTTCTGCCTTCCCTCCACAAACCCCACTCCTGTAAATTCTACAGGAGCAGGAGCACTGTCTGTCTTGCTCATCATGATTTCCAGAACCTAAGAGTGCCTAGAAACATGGGCATATGACAGTGTGAATGGATGAATGCACAGATGTAGCATTTTTAGATAGGAATTTACTAAAGTTCAAAGATAGCCAAAGTCTCTCCTAAAATTTTCAAGTCCTATATATGATGTCAGCATTTCCATTGCAATTGATAAGAAAGTGTTAACCAGCCATTTGAGCATTTATTACATGACATTCACTGAGCTAAGCTGTAAATACAGAGATGAGTAAGAAATGAACCTCTTCTTTATACTTAAAAATGAGGAGATATGTTTTTAAAGTCATGCAGAATCATATGGATTTCCATTTTATTGACCCCTTTGAGGAATTGTGTAGGCAAATCAAATGTACACATACTGCATTGCTAACACAATGTTGTATTTGTAATGGTTAGTTTTAGTTTTTTGAAACACATTAAGTAAAAGCCCATGGAAATATTCTGAAATAACATCTATAGGAAAATAATTCAGCCTTTTTTTCAGGAATACGGATGTGTTGAGATCAGTATGTTATACCATTTTGAACTTTGAATAATATACTTTTGGCTTATTCTGTGATAGCAATAACTTTAAATAA